AACTCATACGCATACTTTATTAGGTTTCTTATCAGGAGTACTAAAGCTATTATTTAAAGGTTTGTAATTATTGTGTTTAGGAACAGATAATGATTTCATTTTCTAAGTAATTTTTTATTTTTTATAATAATTTTTATTAGCTTTTCCTTCTAATATTCTTGATAACTATGAACTATCCTTTTATATATTCTTGTTATTAATCAATAAATTTAGAGAAAAAGAATAATTAACAAAAGTAATATTAATGAGCATTAAAAAACCTGAGAAGCAATACTACTTAAGTCCTTTTCCAAAAGATGTTATTGGATTAATTGCATCTAGTTGTGTTCAAAAATTCCAAGGTGCATATACTTTAGAATTGTAATAAAAATAAAACAGATCACTATAGGATGAATTAATTTATAGGTATTTTAAAAGCAGGGCTCCTCCTTATGAATTAAGCGAGGCTGAGAGGGATGAATTAGAAAAGTTTGATGGAAATGAATACCATTTATGTGAATATCGGGGATAGCAGTTCTTAAAGAAATATTTTCACCCTGAAGTGTTAAAGTTCAATGAATGCATTGAGATTTGCGATATTGAGAATGCTTCAAATTATAAGGGATTGTTAATTCTCAAACGATCAATGTGCAGAAGGAAATGTGAAGACAAAATGGATCTTACATTAAAGGAATACATGAGAGATGGGAAATTCCCGAAGATGGAAGAAATCTTGAAAATGTGAGGTATATAAAAATATTATATGAAGTGAAATCAAAATTAACATATTTTAATTTGTGAGTAATGAAGTTGATAAATTTTCGTGTATTTTTTTAAATAATTTAAATAATAATTTGGGGATGGCATCTTTAATCTATGAACAATTAGTAGCAGCATATACAAATACCGATAATTAAATCAGAAATCAAGCAGAGAAATCTTTAGTCAATTCGTTGTAGGAAAACTATTAGAATTTTTAATTTATTGCTTAATTAGCAGAAAAGCAAGACAAAAGTACTTATTTCTTGCTAAATTATAGTGTAGGAATAAGCTGCCAATTTGTTGAATTCAGTCGTAATGAAAATGCTAAATACTAATCCAAGTACTAATAGTTGATATTAATTAGATTAATTAACAATCCAACATGCTGAATCATTGATTTCTGTGCTAACCTCTTAAAACACTCCCTTAAAATACAAATAATCTCTTATTTAATCTTTAAGTTAAATTTCTAGAAGAAATAAAAGTAATACTTCAATTTAATTTTAGATGTAAAGACTGAAATTGAAAGGAAGATGAAAGAATTCTTACAGGGAGAATAGTAATGGTAAAAATAATCTGGAATATTGTTCTTTAAGATTTTGGCAGACTCTGTCGAACTTTAGAATTTCTCAAATTATACTAATGGAATTACAACTAACTATGATTGGATTACCGAGTATTTTAATTAATGTGTATAAATTATTACAGTGTTGTAAGAATAGCCAAAAGAATTATCGGATGATTTTATAAACACTATGAAATACTTTGCATAATCAATTTAGGATTTATGTGACAAAATATAATAATAATCAAATATCTCAAGAGAATAAATACTACCAATTTTAAATATTCTATTCTCATTAAATTCATTTTCTACTTCATTAATTTTATTACTTTAATATTCACCCTCAATAGGAAAATAAATGCAAAATTCCATCATAATTAATACTGGTATCTAGATTTTTGATGACAAAATGAATGAAATTAAAAGTTACGTTCTGAAATCTTATATGATAATCTTTCAAATTTTGCTCAATACTCGTAATAAATCAGAAGTCAAAAAAGGACCATTTGGTCCCTATATTAATCCAATCACCTAACTCTTACTCTATTCCATCCTTACTTATACAAATAGTGAAACAATCAATGTGATTCTGAAGTAATTCTAAAACAATATAATTATAGTAAGCCATTCCTAAGAAATATAATAACATACATGCTTAAATTGTTAGCAAATCTTGGATCATAAACAGAATAGTATCAAATATTCTCTGATTCAAAAGTGCCCTTGATAACAGATGTCATCTATCCTTATTTGATAACATCCTAATAAGAGTATTTAAAAATGAAAGAAGAACCAGAAGAATTTGTAAATCTGGCACTTGATACTGTTGATAAATAAGAGTCTGACATTCCTAAAACTGCTGCAGCTTAATTATTAGAAACTCTATGTGATCATATAGATGGATCTACAACTTTCTTGGCTAACTTGGCTGTTATTATTTCATAAAATGCAATTAATAGTTTGTCAGCCAAACCTGTTTAACTTAATGAATAATAATAAACATTCATTTAAGCCATATCTGAAAAGTAAATATTTAAAATAATACTTTTAGGAAATTGTTCACTGAATATAATGCTGTTGACAGAATTGAAAGCAGTTTAATTGTATTAACAATAATGAGTTATTTGATTTAAAAGAGATAGGATATTGTAAGTATGATGGAATAGCTATTAACTGATAATTTAGCATTTTTCTAAAATATTCAACATCAAATAATAAAAGTGAGGTTTTCTTTATTTTTTGGTTACTATTGTGATAATCTATTCAAAAAAGATATTTAATCCTAGAGTATGTTAATGTATTTATCTATTTTAATTAACTTTGTTCAACCATCGGAACCAGTAGTCTTGTATTAATCAATAGATGCATTAAAGGATGTCTTTGAAGATGATGAATTGAAAGGAAAAACTAAAGGACTAGTCGCAGTAGTCTTTCCTTCATTATGCAATGGCTTAACATTTAGCATCTATGAGAGACACTTTGAAATGATAATAAATCTATTAAAGAAGTATCCGCAAGTATTTCAACAAAATGAAAATCTGTTAATAGGACTTATGCAAATTTTGGTCTAAAGGATAATTAACGAATAAGATCTAATCAATAAAGGAGATTCCCAAAGACACATTTATTTGAACAGATGTTGGAATATTATAAGATCATTGGCAGATTAGAATGAATATACAAAATTGCTAATAACTCTTGAATAAAGCATCACTCAATTATACTAAATGTTAGCAACTTGCTAAAAAATAGATTTTGATGAGGATCTGGTTTTGTTCATCTCCTAATGTATCTAAAAGTTGTCATCAGTCACTCCATTGTAGATGTAAGTGTTGCCTCTATTTTTAAATGTGATTCAGAAATAGAACTGTAGACTAGGAAATCTATATGAAACCCTTAATTATTACATTCATTATGGCAGAAATCATTTTGTAGAAGAATCATACTAGTAAATATTTTTCAACTTAGCATTCTAACATTTACATTCTGATCAATCCTTTGAAGACATAGAGTAAGCTGAAGGAGCATTGCTTATTTAATTAGGAATATAAGAACTCAATACAGATTTAAAGAAGAATATTTTGGAATCAATTTTAAAATAAACACTTAATATTATTTCTAAAAAGGAAATAACTGGTTTACTACGATCAAGAATAACTGGAATTATATTGAGTGCACTCTACTCTGTCCCAGAATTAACTTGTGAATTATTGTCAGGAATGTTTTCAGCTGTATATAATTAAGTTCTTGACACTCAATATTCTCCAGGTTATGACATCAAATTGTTTGTGATTACAATGTCATCTTTAATTAATAAATAACCAAATCTATTAACTTCAAAATTAATAACCACCATTGTCAATAATTTATTCTTATAAGACAAGTTTGAAAAAGAGAATGAATTAAAGAAATTGAATAAGTATTTACAATTTTAATGTTAGTTCTTTTGATGGCGAAGACTTTGATGAAGAGGACGATGATGAAGACGATTTTAATGATCAGGATGACATCAGCGAAGCGCAATAATAAATTGAATAGTTCTTAAGTCCAATAGTAAAAGAGGATGAGTACTCAGTATTCAAAAATACTCTATTTACAATCAAATAACAGTAACATATTTGTAATTCTTAGTTATGCCATGGGTATTGAACAACTCAAAAAGGAACTAGATAATTAGATTGTTGTTAAACTTAATGACTTGATGTCTTTTATGAGAGTAAATACTAATGATGGTATTCAACCTACAAGAAAAGTAAATCTACTCTTTATTTATTAGCTCATTAAAGCACAAAGAAGAAAGAAGATTAATTGATTATCTAATATCTATATATATATATTATGATAATTTAATGTTGATCCCTCTTGTTTAATATAAATATATCTCAATATTATATATTTTGATCTGAATAAAATTCCAATTTCTGATTTGTAAATAGTGCTATTAATTTCCCGTCATTTGATGAATATACTTAATCACTCTTTGCTTGAATCTATTAGACCTTTTTAAGTCCATCTTTCTGGTCTACTTAATAAATCGAAGTTTCCTTCTATTTACCTGATGCGACTATCAAAAAATTACCTTGCTTACTATAACTAACCTAAAAGGATGATAGATTTGACAATTTCTTTGAGTCGTAGCAATTGTTAGGTGAATATTAATATAAATTCATAATGCTATCCTTTAAAACAGCAACTAAATTCAAATCTTAAAGAAATGAAATAAAATTGACCTCCTATGATTGATCTTATATTGTTAGCTTTAATATCCATGACCCATTTTAATACTAATAAACATATATCTAACAATCTGAACTACCTGCTGCTAATTAAGAATCATCATTATTAAAACATACACACAAAAACTGCTTTTTACATTGATTCAAAACTTAAACTTTCTCCCATTATTTAAGTTCTCTTTTCCATAAATATATTTAATTTGAAACAGCAGCCAATACATTCTCTTTATTATTCAATTATAAACCAATTATTCCACTAGTCTAATCCTATAATACTTGAGATTTATTCCAGCCTTAAGCTTCCATTTTCCAATATATTATAGTTGTATCAAGACTTCCTGTAAAAAATGAATTCTCCTAATTTGAAAAACAAATAGATTTCACATCTCCAGTATGACAATTTTCTAAATCCTGTATTTTTGAGACTTAATCATTTTCATATTTCCATATCTAAACATAACAATTACTGTTCTTTAATTTTGAACCACCCATAACAAATAGATTATTATCTTTATTAAATTTGATGTCATATATTTTTTATTACTCTAATTAAGCCTCAGATATTTTCATGAATTGAGAGCCTTCGACAATCTTTTTTTATTATATAACCTAAACTGGCTCTTAATTTTGATAGACTGCTTATTTATTTAGAATTATAGATTATGATTAATTATTGTTAACCAACTTTAATTAATCTTATAGAACTTTTATTCTCCCTCTTAATTCATCAAGTTTCCCTAAATACTAAATAGAATTTTTTTCTTATAATTCTATTTTATCACCATTTTATTTTATAATTAAGCTAGCCTATTCTGCCAACTTAATCAATTCATTTCTTTCACTTTATTATTTTTTTTGAATGCATGCATCTATTGAATCATTTGGTTTTATGTATAGATTTTTTAACACTTAGTCAAATATTTATGAATGCTCTAATTCTAATTTATTATAATATGCTTAGATCTAATCAATAAGATTCTTAATATAAGCTAATTGATCCTTATCTTTTTTCAATAATTCAATTTATTCTTACTCAGATTTAGAGACAGAAACTGCAAATTCAAATACTTCTTCAATGCTATACAAATTTTATTGCAATTGCAAATTACATCTAGTACATAATAATCGTTTTTCATCAGATAATCCTTTTGTTAAATTTAGCAGACTTATGGGTTATTTTTAATGTAGAAGGCAATTAATTCTAGGTCCTATAAAACTCATTCTTTAAGATTTTTAATTTTTAAAATAATACACCATATAAAGAATAATTCGATAATTTATATACAAAAAAATTGCCATATTCATCAGATAGAAAAGCATTTCTATTATTCTATTAATGTAGTTCATTAATACCCTAAAAAGTTATAAAAAGAATATTATATATTCATTAAAGTACTTAAATCAAAAGGCGAAAAAATTATTCTATTCTCTTATATCATCTATTTGATCTTCTAACATCAATTATTGAAAATTCTCATCTTCTAATTAAATATTCCTTTATATATATATATCAGTAGCATATAAAAAGACACTCTTTTAATAACCTATATTCATTTTTAATAATTCTTCCTTCGATAATCCTCCAGATTTAGCACATTTATCAAAAGCATAAGAATTTTAATTAATTTTAATTATAAACCTCTCAATTTTATTTAATTTCCACTACCTTCTATATTAATGAGAAATTATACTTTCTAAAGATTAGATATAAATTAATTTTTGCCTAAAATTAACAATTCTCTTAGGTTTTTTAATAATATATATTTTAGTACAAAATGAAATCATATATATAGTAATTTAATTTGTATCTTAATTTCAATTGATATTTATTATTACTTGCTATTCTGTTTCTGCAATTATAAATGAATGGTCATTTCAACAAATTCAATCGAAAATTTAGACAATAAAGAAGGTAAATTTAGAACTATTAGGATTTAACTTCTTTTCTAAGATAATTTTGTTTAATTTATGAATTATAATATGTATAAGAGACTCATTAGAATTAAGAGATAGGTTAAATATTAGAGTAAGAATGATTAATATTTGATTAAGATAATTTTATGATTTTCCAAACAATATTTTGAACTAAAAAAGCTTGACAAAATTTTAGTTAAAATACTCCATATATATTTGATTTTATAATTCCTTGAGTTTGAATAATTTTATTAATAATTGAATTTGAATTTGAAAATGAACTCAAAATAGTTAAAATTTTAAATAGAAATTGAAAATCAAAACAAGGAGAACAAAGATTACTAAGAGAGACAGGGATTTCATAAATAAAGAATCAATCGTATCCCTCTTACAGACATTACTGATGCATTATATCCTTAGAGAAGATAAGGGAGCTCATAACTTCTTGAATGGAATCAATTAAAGCTCTCCCCCACTATTTAATTGAGATGATAACAAAGCTTTTAATTATTTAGAGATATCTTTCTTTAACAAAATATAATTGTTTATACTGCCATGACGATTCAATCATTATAATCAACATCCGGCAATAATTCTCTGATGATCATATCACTAACTTTGAAATCCATTTCCTTGGCATTGGTTAAATCTGTTTCTTCATAATTAGTAAATTTTTCCTTGAATAGCTTCTTCATTTTATCTAATATATCTGTTTGATTGACATTAATCAATCTGTAATGAATTTCTCTAATGTTGATTACATGAGCAACTTTATCCAGGTTAACCCCAGATCTAAAATAATGATAATATAATACGGAACTCCATTAGGCCATTGAGAATATTAATCAGTAAATTCTTTTCCATGGGGAGGAGCATCAGCAACATGAAAGATATATCTTAATGAAGGTGTGCGAGTGGCATCTCTCCATTCAATCTTTTTTGCTGCATCATACAATCCATCCAAGACAGCCTCTGGTGTATCTCCACCTCCGTCAGCATTTTGTTAATCTATAAATTTAATAATTTCATCTTCTCCACATAGGTCCTAAATCTTGGTTACATAGGTTTGGTCTTAAGGCGGATGATCTCTATAACATACAAATCCGAATTTAACACTAATATCTTCATTTGAAGCTTTATTTTTAATGTTTTTAATAATTTCTTTTACGGTATTCTATATAATCAAATACAGATTTACTTTGGTTTAATTTAAATACTGAGACATAGAGGAGGTAGTGTCTACACAAAATACGACATCAACAATTCCAGCTGCTGCTTTGCTTTCAGTTCTTCTAGGTAACTTAGCAGACTCCGTTTATTTCTATTCTTATTATTCTTTTTATTATTCTTTTTTTCCACTTTTTTCTTTTTTGTCACTTTTCTTATCTGATTTCTCAACAGCCTTTTTCTCACTTTTATCATTTGCTTTCTTATCTGATTTGTCAACTACTTTTTTCTCTGATTTATCTATCACTTTTTTTTCACTTTTATCATTATTTTTTTTTTCAGATTTTTCTTCTACTTTTTTTTCGCTCTTAGCTACTTCTTTTTCATTTTTCTTTTCGGCTGCTTTAGGTTTCGTTTCTCCTTTGCCGGTATTAGCTTTAACTGGAGTTTTTTTAGGTGTACTTTTTTTAACAGGACTTTTTTTTGGAGTACTTTTTTTTTTACTTATTACTTTTTTTTAAACAGGTTTCACCTTTTATTTTGTTTCTGTAATCTTTTTAACTTCTTATTTTTCTGGTTATTTTTTTTATTTGGTATCATCTTTAATTGGTTATTTTTCTTCTTTTTAATTTGAATTCTTTTTGGGCGCACTCTTCTCTTTTTCATTTACTACTTTCTTTTATTTCACTTCTTATGTCTATTTGGTAATCTTTTTTTATTACACACCTGAGTCATAAAAGAGATATTTACCATTGCTTTTACTTCTAGTCTATCCCAATTTTTCGTGTACAATATTTTCATTATCTTTTATTAAAGTCTATATTGTTCTTGTTCTTCTAATTGGAGCTTTTTTCGTCTCTTACTTCTTTGGAGCAGCTTTCTTCACCATTATGTATTTAAATAAAATTTATAATTATTAATAATTTCTCGATCTTCCAAAAAGTATTAAAAATATCTAATTAATCTTAATCACATTTCTTTAATCAATTCACTTAGTTGTTTTATACCTCATGTACTAATTAATATATTATCACTCATAGTAGAATAAAATATTGTAACAATAATCTGTATAGCAGATGTAAAAATAACACTATTAATAAATTCTAAATTTATATAATTAATATATCTATATAAGTAAATCTTTCGTTATTTGAGTTAACATCTTTCTATTCCACTAGGATTAACAATATAATGAATTCACTCATTTTTCTGGAGTTCTTCTCTGGATTTCAGATGTATAACCCTACTTCTATGTTATTAATACTTTCTAAATAATATTTTCATCTGAATTGCATTAAAATTGCTTTCACTGTTTTAATTTTGAGGTTTGATGAGGCAGAAATACGGATTATTCTTTAAATCACACCTAATTATTTAATTTTTGGGAAAAGAATCCCTAATTATTTTTGTATAATAATTATTTATTTTCTTATTATTAATATTTATATATATATATTTATAGATTTAAGTTATTAATCATGAAACAATTAAAATAGCCTTCTCAAATAATTAAGATTATTTCAAATCAGAATAGCAATAATATATCAGAAATAATTGTTGTCTAAGAATACTCATTGGTACAATTGAAAGACAAAGACTTAAATCTAATTTATTAAGCTAAAGAAAAAATAGTTGATGCAGTTCCGATCAAATATCCACTTACCTAATTTCAAATCGCCTTATTATATGAAACTGGATATGTTGAATTGTATCAACCTAAGATTCATTAAGTCACTTTACAAATGAGTTTGAAAGGGTAAATCAAGATGCCATATAAATTATTTTATGCTAAGAATTTCCTCTTTGTATCAGATTATATATAAGGAATGATCATAATCAATTTAAGTATTTAAGAAGAAAAGAATTTTAAAAGAAAGGATGCAAAAATTATAAGCGTAGAGGAAATAGAGGACCATACATTAATATTTTATTACACAACAAAAAAACTGATATAATATAATTTGGAATCTGAGAAAGAGATTTGTTTGCTCGAAAATCAATAAATTTAAAGATTTTCAAACATATCTAAATTATCAATATGCAATAATATTATGGTACTCTATTCTTATTCAACTCTTTTGTTTTACTAATTATATCCTTTTAAGGAACTTAATAATTATTCAAAATTAATAAATAATAGAATAATAGATGTATTAGAATATGGAATAAACAAGAATCAATATCTATTAGTACAGGAAAATGGTTAAATTGACTTAATAACATTAAAGATTGACTAAAAGGTAAGTAATCATTTAATTGTCATAAAGCTAAATGTTGAGAATATTCAACTATCTTATTTAATTAATAAAGAATTATTAGTGGTAGTTTCATTGGATGGAATCTCAGTCTTTGATTCTAATTTTATGTTAAATTTTTAAATAGAACTGTTTATAGGTATGACTAACCTTTTTAAATTCCAAAATAATTTGTATGCTATTAAGAAGTACAATGATTTTAGCAAACCATTTGTACTTAAGAATATTAAAAATATAGAGTCAAGACAAATTATTATTAATTTTACTCAAAAACTAAAGGTCAAATAAATTTTTTAGATTAATTCATACCTGTTAATTATTACCACTAACCAAATCTAATTATATTAAAATACCCGACAATTATAAGTTGTAGATCACTAAAGCTAGATAAACCAATGCATGCTTCTAGAGACTTAATATATTCTATTGTCAAATGATTAAGTGTTGTAATTATATCAGATATCAAATGATTAACTGTAATTGAGGGATCAAATTAATTAACAAGCAATTTAAATAAAATCTCATTACTAATAGAATCAATTCTCCATATTCAATGATAGTGGTTATATTCAAATATATGAAGTTAATCAAAATAAATTAGTATTTAGAGCATAGTCTATATAAATGCTTGACTTAAGTAGTTATCATATTGATCATGAATATTTGACAATTTGCAGATTTGATTGTTCATTAAATTAGTTAAAATTTGAATTTTAAGAGGAAGGAACTGATTTTCCACTTCAATAATATTAACTAACTTCTATAGCTGTGATGATTAATTACAATAATATTAGTAAAGAATATCAAGTAATCTGTTAAGATGGACAATTTTATTTATTTGATAATGAATTGAATCTCAAAATCAAAAATTATCCGATTGGTTTAAATAATATTGTATAAGAAATCTAAATTGTCAACGATTTATATCTTGTTACTATTTAGCAATAAGGATCATTCAAATATTTAGTGATGGAAGGCATCAATAATTATTACATATCAGTTAAAGAAAATGATTCACTATTTTTAAGCAATAACAATGAACTTTATTTATTCAATGATCAAACTTTGGCTAAAGTAACATTGAGTTAATAAGAAATAGGATACTTAGATGTAAATCTATTTCCAAAAAAAGAATAAGTTGTATTGTTAAAGGACAACTTACTTATCACTTAGTATTCTGTCTATAGACATTTTGAGGATTCTTTTGAGAGAATTCAAGATTTTGAACAATAATAAAAATAGATACTGGTTGCAGATGTTAATGAAGAGAATATAGTCTTATTATTAAATGACTCGACGGTTTGTATTATTAAGGCACACCAAAATGGACAGATAGATTTGAGAATACATTAAATAAAGGAGGAATACAAATACTAATAAGTAAGATTGTCTAATGATATCATAATATTAACTTATCAAAATTTGGTAGCCATATATTCATTATAGAAATTTGAACTATTATTGTAATTTTAAGCCATATATCCAGATAAGAATATTTGTAAGGATGAAGAAATCATCTAGATAGGTATTGAATAGCATTCTGAATCATAATTAGTATTGAATCTATTGATTTAATATGCAGGTATTGCAATTATACAACTAAAGTTACTTAAAATCAATGGGGTTACTTAATTAAGATTAAATAAAGTATATTATTAATCTCTATGTAGAAAATCTATTCTCCTATTGACGTTTCTGAACATTTGAGAATGCAAATGCTTTCAACTACATGGTAATTATTTAATACAAGAAATGAATGCCAAATTTTTAAGCATGTTCACAATTTCTTTGATTCTTGTCTGCAACCTATTTAAGAGAAACCATAAATATTGAATGATTATGTAGTTGATTCGATATAATTTAATGGATGCATCTATTATTTAGGTATATGTGGTGCCTTATGGAGTATAAACTTGGACTGAATTATAATAATATTTTATATATAGAGAATATTGATTGTTTATTTATCAAAAACAGCAAAGAGTGTCTGCTTTGAGATTTGATTTAATGAGTTGTTTTATTTGAGGATTTGAAGCTTATCGAATGGCTGCCTTTAACTCTTTATTTGAATAGTTAGATTTTTCTAATAATAATTGAACACAATTATAATGATTCCATCTAATTGAGACTTCTAAAGGAGATTCATAAAAGTTTTCATAAACTTTGCTTTTAATAAAAGGATTGGCTTATTAATCTAATAAGAATTTGATAACCTCAATATTGCCATTTTTACATGATATATATAAAGAGTTTTATCCAAACTTATTGAACGAATTTAGTATATGTTTTGGATCAGTAGGACAATACAAGTGTCTAAGTTATAAATAATAATCATATACTTTTTTGGATACACTTTTAATAATTTGATCATATTTTGAATATCTGATTAGGAACCTTATTCGCAATAATAAATGAATCTATCTACTAATTTCAAGTTTGATAAGATTTCATTAACATTTTCACAGTCTCTTGATGAGGGTTCTGGATGTATTTTTGAAACATTCATGTTGGTGGATGGTTATATCATAGTTTCTTTTAATTAATCCTAATAAAACATATATAATTAACATACTAGATTTGAAATATGTTCGACTATGTTCTATTACATCCTTCTAATACTGAGTAGTAAATTTCCGAAAGCTTTAAATTTATTTTTCTTTGGCGAATCATCTCCATTAATCTTTGTTGGCGATTCAATTATAGTATTAGTTTACATTAGTTAATCGTCTTTCAAGAATTAAAAGTCCTACTGCTCTTTTTTATTCATATCAATACTGATTTATTCTTTTTTAATCTATTTTTATGATATATCAATATTTCTTACTTGAGAATTGATGAATTCGCTTGGGAAATCTTGACTCAATTTGTTTTGACTAGACAGTTGCTATGAGTCTTTTAGTTCTTAACCTCTGTATTCAGAAAAGCTAAGTTTACGATTTGAAGGACTATAATCCTCTAGTAATTGCTAATATCTAAATGAAAATTATACTTGAATATTGTTTAATGCTACTTATGAATTCGGAGATTAGGATTGCTTTTTCTCTGGTTATATGGGGACGATATATTTTGAGTAAAGACTATCCATTGTTTTAATTATTTTATATAAATTATTCATAAGTATATCATCATTTCCTTTGCCAACAGAGCAAATTAACTATGTTTTCTATTTGAGGATTCCTCTTTGATTAATGATTGTATGTAATTCTGATCTATGATTAACTTTGGAAACTTATGGTAAATTCAGTTCCATAATTGAATCATCACTTATAATGGATATCATGTATTTTTGTCAAAGAATTGAATTGTTACTCAATATTATTATATCCAAATTAAGCATTCTAATATGATAAGTCTCTAATTCAACATCAATTATTAAATATATTTAAATTAATCTTCAATAATCACATTTTTCTATGTAGGGTTGTACACTTTTTCGGTCTCCCCTAAGCAAAGGAATTTACTTTGATAGTTAAGTTTATGAGTATTTGGTAGTGTTTGTTATCTAAACTTCAGTCCAAGCTTTTTGTCCAAAAGCCTTGCATACGAATCGAACAGACTCTTCCAATATTTTAGCAGGTCTTCTTGAATTATGAGTGCCTTCAAAACTGAGCAATTCTTTATTTTCTCCAGGGAATAATTTCATTAACAATTTAGGATGACTCTCTCTTATCAAATCATCTTGTTGGGCAGATAAAAATAATATTTGGACATCCTAGGGTAATACTGATTATTAGTTAGCTATTACCTTATATGATTTGAACTATATTCAATTCATCAATGTTAAATTTAACTTCTTAATGAATTTTAGATTTTACACAACACCAAAAACAATTAAAGCAACAGTTTGGAATTTTGTAATTAGTCTTTGCTAATTCTTTGCATAATAATGTTAAATTAGAGAATGGACTATCACAAACCAATACTTTAAATTCATAGTTATTATTGGCTGCTAAAATGGCTGTCACAGAACCCATTGATCTACCCCATAATCCTATAGATGTGAGATATCCCTATGAAACTTATATATTATTAAATAATTACTTTGTTTTCTCTCAAGTAATCATATAAGCAAATAACATCCTTTGACTCATGAAATCCCAAGGAGATATATTCACCTTCCGATAATCCAGAACCTTATTCACTTAATTAGAGATACCAGACAAATCTATGCCGCAAACTGAAATGTTTGCAGGGATTAAATATTCAATAATAGTGAATGATTCAATTCTACTACTGGAATTACCATGTAAGTATATCATACAAGGATGAGGTTTTTCTTGCATTCTCAGAGGCTCAAATAAACTAATTAGGTTGAATATTCTAACCTACATTATAATTTCTAGTTTCGATTATTATGTATTTCAAAGTCTGTTCTTCTTGTGATTGTATCTTGCACTTTAAATGTCTCGTTCCCAAGATCTTTAAGGTTATAACGATGTCTTGGAGGTCGAACTATCGGTTTCCATAACAATTCATTCCATTTGTATTATTCTTGACTCATGAAAGTTTTAAAAATCAATTATATATTGATTTATATTAATTATTATTATGAATTTGCCATAGGTATTCAGTGTATTCACAGATAATAACTAATTTGAGAAATTCATTGAAGATCTTGTGGCTGACTGTGTCCATGGAATTAAATTACCTTATTTGAGTCAATTTCCTGAGATCAATCATTATAATCTAATTGTTGAGGCCCAATAATTTATGCAGTAGTTTAGTGAATACTTGTTGGAAATGAATAATCAAAACAGAGAAGAAGTACTCTTCAATATTAAAATCAGGTCTAAAGATTATTGGAAAAATTAAAAACATAAATAGATGCAGAAAAACACTAGATCTTCACCAGAATAATAACTGAGAACTTTAAAGGGATGTGTAAATAAGCATTATACACACATATTGCATTGTCCAAATATGTATTAATTGATTACAATTGGAATTTGAATGTACATTCTAATAATTCTATATAGTTAACAATATCATCCAATAAAATAGCCAAGTCATAGATTCCTACAATAATAGTGGAATTGCATTTGCAAACATTAGATAATATAGCCAATAAAAAGAAGATTAGGTTTGAGATGACTAAAGAAGAACTAGAATAGTTTGTAGGTAAATTATAAAAAGTTATGAATTAATTACAATTATAATATAAATGATTTCATTAAAACTTGGTTATATCAATATAATCATCCTTTTCAACTTCAGTATCCCTATAATTTCTAGAGTGTGGTTTTGGTTTTGGTGCCTATTTCTATTGCTATTATATCAACTCTTATTATTCTTGATCATATTATTGCAAAATTTCTTAAACCTTTTATTATTCTTTAAGTTGTTTAAGCTTTTACTTATCTCTTTGACTTTCCTTTTCTGCTTCTTTCTCAAAGAATTTCCTAGCCTTTTCTAAGATCATCTCTTCATCTTCTTCTTCCTCCTATTCCTTCTCTGCCTGTTCTTTTAACTTTTTCAATTGGTCAAAAGTAGTAGTACTACTAGATTTGACTTGATCATTTGATTATCTATTTTGATTTGGTTGAACTTGAGTGTTATTTTCAGTTTCAGCAGGATTTTCCTCTTCTTCATCATTGAAAAATGACAATTTGATATCCGGCTTAACAAATTTCAATTGTTCCGAGACTTTAGTTATATTATCAATAACAGATTTCAATTTATCCAATAATTTAGGTCTTTCTTATTATGCAATAGTGATGGCTGTTTATTTCATATAATTATCTAATTCATCTTCTTCATCAATTTCTTTTTCTTCATTCCTTTAAATACTTAATAATTCATTATTTAAGAGATCTCTCTCCTCAATTAATTACTCTAATCTTTTTTTGAGTTGTTAATATGATTCAGTAGTTTTTTCTACTTTAATTTCGTTATTTACTTATTAAACTTCTTGGGTATTTACTTTTTTCTTCAAAGTGTTATCATAGAATTCATCTTCTTCTTCTGAACTCACTTCAGCCTACTATTCAAATTTGTTAATCTTCTAAACCCTATCCCCAAACAACACAAATTTCAACCCAACTTCTAAACTTTCCAATTCAGATCCCAATTCCTAGACTTTGGTTTCTAGATCACATTTATTTCTGCCTGATTATTCATCCAAACCAAAATTCTTTCTCTCTTTCACAATCAAATTATCCAACTCTTCTTATTATTAACGATAGGTTGATAACTTTTCACTATATTTATTGATTTTATCTATCAATTATTCCGATAATCCAGGTAATTAAAGCAATAATTCTGGCTCTAATGGATACTCCTATTCCTAATGATATCTGTAGACTTCTTGTTCATCATCTATTCCCCAATCTATACCTTCGATCTCTGATTCTTCTTTCTTCTATTTTTTAATAAATTAAATTTATACTCTAGGTTTCATATGTCTGTACAATGGATTTTAATACAACAGATTCAAATAATGTTCCTTTACTGTTTTAAATTCTCTTTTGGCATTTCTTTTATCTAATTTCTTTTGTAATTCCTATTCTTGTACATTTGCATCCTATTTTATGTATTTAATAATTTACTTCTTTTTCTAAGTCCTCACATCTCAAAATATACACTCTTATACTTTATCCGAATTTCAATTGATCATATGGTTTTAGTTTATGGAATAATTTGGTTGGAATTCTAACATTATTGACAAATGTTCCATGAGTGCTCCCCAAATCATATACATAAAATTCATTTGTATTCTTTGATTGCAATACTGCATGCTTTCTACTTATTGTAGGATTATCCAATACGATATCGCATATTTTTTCATTCTTCCCTATCAAATACATTGCTTTCTAATTAAGATAATGTGGTAAATACATTGTCAATTTTCTTCTGTTAAATTAATACTCCATTCTTCAATACTTCTAAATAGAATGGGAGCTTAGGCCTCATTGACCAAGAAGGAGGAGTATAATCTTCATACAACGTAAAGGTCGACATTATATAAATTTATTTATTAAATGCATATTTCCAAGGAAAAAAGAGTTAGAATTACTCTAGCACTATTATCCATTATTGATTTTGCCTATACATTTCAGAAATTTTCATAAATTAAAGTTATCCTTTCCAGTCTATTAGTTTTATCTAATATTGGTATAATTATGATTTGATCTTAGTAAGTATGTTATTACTGAAAAAGAAATAGCTATCCAGCATTATGATTACTTTATATTATGGAAAGGAGATTATCTTATATGGACCAACCTCTACATGGCCAGTATTATATCTTTTTAAAAAGATTGGCTCTTAAAAATTAATTTTTCTTTCTTTATTTTCAATTCAAATCGCATTCAACTATGTCGATTCACTATGGAAATTGACTCTAAAAGCTAAAGAACATCAGTGCATTGAATTAATAGTAATTTTTATATACGAAGGCTTTTCCTTTTATGTCGAATAAAAACCTTTTAATCAATGTATTCGTCTTTTAATAAAACATTTTAAATAAGACTGCATTCTTTAATTATTTGATCGAAATTACAAAAATATTGCCTTCAATTAAAAGAACTCCTTAATTGTAAACAGATAATCTCCTTCAAAAAATGTTTTAAATTCCCCAAAGTCAGATCAAATACGTTTGTGTACTGAAGAATAAGAACTCTTTTATAAGCTTTACCTAAATAACGATGATTTTTAACCACTGGATTCTAATCAATAAAACTAGTAAAACAAAATGATATTTAAATCTTCAAAGGAATTATTGCTATTTCTAAAGAATAATCGATAATATTATGCTTTGGCTGTTCTTAATGAACAGTATAATAATTAAAAAGTGTTATATCAAGTTAAGTATTTATAAAAAGATACTTTCTATCTTTTATATTATATCAAAGTTGAGGATGGATTTACAAACTGGTAAAATCACAAGATTTCAAAATATAAATAGAATCTAATTAATATTTTTAATCATAAATTGAAAACTCCTTTAAATGGAGCTATTGGTCATTTAATCACAGCCAATGAAGATTAAAACATCATGGAACAAGTGAAATAGTCATACTTATAACCAGCTTTATTAAATTGTAGATTGTAATTATACTTAGTCTAAGATATCCTTGATTACTTATCTTGTGAGGTTGAATAATTAACTATTATGAGCAACAAAATAAATTTATAATCCTTACTATCTGAATTATATGATCTAATAGAAAATTAATGTAAAATTAAGAAGATAGATGTTCAATTTAAAATTAATGATGAGATATTTGATAAATTGGATTCAAAATATTGGTTTATATATACCGACTCCAATAAATTGATTCGTGTCTTACTAAACATATTGAATACTTCATATAGATATACAGAAGAAGGGGGATGTATCAGTTTGGAAATTAAATTGGATTAATTGAATAAAATTACCTATTTTACTATAATAGAAAATGGATCAGGAATAAATGAAGAGTAAATATAACAATTAACAGATTAATTAAAATAATTAGATCACTGTGCAACAACAAACAAATCTAATAAATTATTATGTGCTGATAATAGGATCAACTCAGGTATCAATTTATATCTAGTGAATAAATTAATCAAATTGCTAAGTGGAGACAATAGTAGATTATAATTGAGAATTCAGCAGAATAATTAACTACTCTTTACTTTTTCAATTAGTGATACTTTGGATTTACAATCTGAAAGTTCACTCGGCAGATCAAAAAATAACAGTTTAAATAAATAGAAATCTCTAAGAAGTTTGAATAAAATAAGCTTTTAGTAAAGTCCAAGAATATCGAAATTCAAACAATTATCACAAAGATAATTTAATTTTAAATCTTACAACTCATTTGCATCCTTGTAATAGACAGAAACCATAGATATTGAACCAATTGCATAGATTCCTAGTATTTTATAAATTAAAGATAATAAACATAAATACATTCATCAAAGACAAAAATTGAAGTCATTAAAAAAGCCAATAGATTATTAGTAATGCTAGAAAACAAGCTCAAAAATACATTCAGCGGATTCAGCAATTTAATAACTTCAATAAACAGAAAAATATGTATTAGTAGTAGATGATGAACCATTCAACCATGAAACCTTATGTTTGATGTTGAAAAATATCGGTTTCAATAAATTTTTGAAAGCTTTCAACGGTTAATAGTGTATAGATTTAGTTCTGCAATATCATGATTAAATTTATATGATAATGATGGATATAGACATGCCAGTAATGAATGGAATAGAAACAACAACACAATTAGAAAAATTGATTGTCACCAATTCTGTTACGTATATTCCCATAATAGGATGTACTGCTCATGAGGACTATGAATCTCATTTAAAATGCTTTGAAGCAGGAATGATCCATGTTGTGATTAAACCTGTCTTTATAAAATCAATACAAGAAGCCTTGTATAAGATTTGTGAATTAAATTCAAACGAAACCATCAAAGAAAACAACTCACCTTACATAATGTAAAGAGTGAAATCTTAATCTTCAGATTTTTAATGAGATTAATATATTTTGATAAAATTACTTTATAGTGTGATTTATATTCTTAAATTACTTAACTTTTCTTATTTAGTTACCCCTAATAATTATGTCTTAAGAATTTCATGTTCAATAATGATTTCAAGGTTATAAAATTCAATGAATTTCTATTAAAATCATTATTATTAAAATCAACATGATCCAAAATTTCTATTATAATCAAGCCTAAGTTTAAAATGAATAAGAGTACGTAATGCAAACTTAGGGGTAATCCAATTAAATTGACAGAATGAATCTTTTAAGGGTAATTAAATCAACTTTAGATGATAACCCTCACACAAATGTTGCAAGAATCATCTCTTTTTCATAAAATGCTAATAATATGATAACATCATAAAATGAAACTTGTGATTATTCTTTGGAAGAATATTTCAAGGTAAGATAAAGCTATTGGTTTTCTAAAGAAGAAATTTATAATATGATTGGATAAATTGTGTAAGGATATCTGCATTTGAAGAATTTGAGAATAGTTCACAGAGATTTGAACCCAAGAACTATATTGGTCAAGCGTGTTTTAGAAACAAACAATGTTATAATTAAAGTATATTTAAATTATCACAATAGATTTCTGATTTTGAAGTAGCTTCCTACAATTAACCTAAAATGAATGAGCAGATTGGCACTCCTTTTTACTAGGCTCCTGAAATTAGTCAAAATGTGGATTATGATGATCAATGTGATGTTTATTCTGTAATTATTTTTTTAATAGATTTAGTTAGGATTAATACTATATTAAATGTGCTTTAAGAATTAATACCACATTAACCCCATTACATAGAATGAACTTTATAAATTTAATTAACAACTCTAATATAACAAATTCAGAGTCCCAGATCAATCAATAGATTAAGCCTTCAAACAATTATTAGAGAAAATGATAGTGTATGATCCAAAGGATAGGATTAGATGGTTTGATTTGGCTAACATGCAAGTATTATAACCCAACTTCTTGGCTTTCTAAAGCTAAAATAACACTAGATAATATTACATAGATTTCTAAAAATGTTTAGGCAGAGGAAATCAAGGATGCACTTATTTAACTTATGATTTGCTAAATAAGAATACAGAATATTGCACTAAATAAATAGATTCCAATAACATTGAAGGACAAAGAGAATTAGAAGCTTATAAAATAATCAAGGAAAATCCATATTGTGAAAATATTATAAAGATTGAAGACATTAAAGAGGATCGACCATTCACATATTTAATCATGGAGAAATGTGATAAAAACATTGAGGAATATTTCAGAGAGAAATCCTTTAAATTATCACAATAGGAAGTCTTCGATATTTTATAGTAGATTGTCACTGGCTACCTTCATATACTTAAATTCAATATTATTCATAGAGATCTAAAACCTCAAAATATTTTACTAAAATATAATAAACAAACCAATAAGCCTACTCTCAAAGTATACATCTTCTATCAATTAGATTATTGACTTTGGAGTTGGTAAGGTCCTCTAGCAACCCAAAGAGATGACCACCACTTTTGCAGGAACGCCAATTTACACTGCCCCAGAAATCATCTTCTCTCAAAACTATAATAATAAATGTGATATGTTCTCAGTATTCTTCTTATTTATCGCTAGTTGGGAGTAATGTTACATTAACTTGTTTATGAAGGGGACAACTATTTTCACTCTTAGCCAAACAGTATAGAAGATTTATAGCGAATTTTAAAGAATATGAAAACAACCCCAATATAATGCAAAAAACCATACAAACAAGTAATTACATGATTTAAATTAGTTTTCCAATAATTTCTTATAATTAATAGATAAGATGTTAAAGTTTGATTAAGATGAAAGAATCGATTGGGTAACATTAAATTAATCTTTAAAAGACATAATGTAACCTAAAATTAAAATTGTCTCCATAATTAATTCTAATTAAGATTAAGAATCCCAAAATCTATAATAATAATAACCATAGTAATAATAGTAGTAATAACAAGTTTAATATCAATAATAATAATATTAATAGCAACAATAACAATACTAGCAATTGTAATAGTAATATCCGGAATAATTACAATTTTAGTAGCAACAATAGCAATTTTAACAGATACAGATGCCTTCCTAATAAGCATCATAATAAAACCAATATTAATAGCCTCAACAATAGTAAAGCTTCTAACCTTAATAGTAATAATAAGAATATCTAACTTAATAGCTATAGCAAATTTAAAAACCTTTATAGCAATTATAGAATTTTTAATAATAATAATAATCATAATAATAGTAGTAATAATAATTTTAATAGAAGTAGTAATAATAATTTTAATAGCAGTAATAATAATAATCATTTTAATAATAGCAAATAGGACAACCTCCATAGAACTTTTTATAAACCAATAATTAATAATAAATACAATAAACAACTCCAAAAATAAATAATATTCCATAAATAAATAATATTCCATAAATAAATAATATCCCATAAATAAATAATATCCCATAAATAAATAATATCCCATAAAGTTAATAATAGGTTCTTAATTAACCACCAACGGTTAATAAATTTTCAACAGATATCACAGCATTGAAACCATCATTGAGAACAACTACACTTCCAACATCCTCCTAACAACCCTAATAAAATCAGCCCAACTTTTAAAAAAATCCTTAAATCACTTTTAATCCTATTAGTTAATAAGAAAAGGCTAAATCCCTTCTAGAGCCTACTACTAATCCCAATAAACCTATTCCTTTTGAATTGAAAAGTTAAGGTTCAAATACGAGTGCAAGACTTAATACACAATAATTATACGCGCAAGCACAACGTCAAACTCATAACGAATTTTAGAAACCATAACCTTTTTAGCAATAATTAAATAATAATCAGATTATGTCAAATTAGAAGACTTTTTCTATCCCTGTTCCTTAATAGCCTTTTATTTAATCTCCTAGTGCAAATAATTAAGTTCCTTTAACTAGAGCTACAATTTCACATTCCTTACCTAATACTATGTAGGATTTTAACAAAGTTACTCCATAATCACCGTCAAATAATTTTTTTTAAAAACAATCCCAACCTAAAGAAATGTAACATTATTGTGACTTCTTTAAAAATGCTGCTTTTTGTTTCAAATCTAAACTTCCTTATTTAAGTTTTTAACCTGCTTATTTAGGATTTTATTTATGCGTATCATATTATTACAAAGAGATTAAGAAGTATTTAAAGACTGAAAAATTTAATGAAGATAGAGAAGAAAATTAAATAAATCAAGATATTGAAAATGTTAAAGGGATGATTTAAAAAGTGGATAGAAAGAATGCAAGATTGGAAGATTTGAAAAAATTAGTCTAACAATTAAACAAACCTCTTAGCCTTACTGAAATTCAGATTGCTTTTCAAGAATTTTATTAAAAAAACAAAGATATATTATTTGATGAAGATAATAAAGAAACAAATGAATTGAATAAAATAATTTAGGATACACAACTATAATCTAATGCACTTTGTTCAAATAAATAATTAATGGATAAATAAAAATAGAATTTTTAATTCAATAAACCACTTCTGTCTAATAACTGAAATAATTAATTTTATTAAATTATAATCTTATATTTGATTTTCTTCTTATGGTTTCAGTTTTTTATATTTAAGTCCATATCATGAACACAATGGAGCAAGGAAACATATATCTTTCTGGCATTTCGAAAATTATTCTAATAGAAGTGGGCAAAAGGAAAATCTAAAATAGAATATGATTGAAAATTCTGAAATTATTTTCTAATGTTCATCACTCAACAGGCATCATCAATCATTTTAAGTAATAAAACCAAATTCAATCTTAGATTTCCTTAATCTATAGTATAGTTAAAAATTACATGTACTTTGATTTTATTATCAATATTTAATTGTAATTATAATTAAATTATTCATCTTAATAGTCACTAAGAATCTAAGAATTTAAATTAGTTTAGGCTAAATAAATTCTTTCTGTATGTGTATGAAACTTGCTTTAATCATTTTCTGTATTTCGATGGATGAAATAAAATAAAATATATATATTCAATTAATAAATATGTATATTCAATGTTAATTGGTTTTCATTTACATTAAACATTGTGAAGTTTAAAGACAAAATAATTCTAGCATTTCTAAATCTATAGAGTTAACTTTAGAATCACTTCCTCCTATTCCTTTTACATTAACAACTTAGAGTGCTCCAATGATTTGATTATTATATTTGAGTGGCATGCAGATAATTGGCATACTAGTTTCAATATCAATATTAGGATTGAATAGAGGGTTGATATAGCAATTACTTATAGCAATGATTGATTGACTGTGAATGCAATTCCCCATAATACCAAGCGTGTTGTCACTTTCATCCAGTTTTCCCTCTTTATTAAGATGCACAACTTTATTGGCTTGGATATCATTATAAACTATTTTTGCAAAATCTACATTCATTAGTGATCTTAATCTCTCCTAGGCTTATTAAATAAATTTATGAATTTCATGTTATTTTGATTAAAGCAAAACTCCAGTCTTTATAAGGTGTCTCAATTTATTTTAAATTAACATTTGAGCATCGTGATTCATGGCATTTTTTAATACCGATCTTGAAAATTCGCACATAATTTGAAGCAACGCTTCATCATCTTTTGTGAAATATCCACTCTATTTGTTAACACATTACAACACTCCAACACATTTGTCATTTTCCATTATTGGACACACTAATAATGTTTTTGTCTTATAATTATTTTTGATATCCTATTATGAATTAAATCTTTAATCTCTATAAGCATCTTCTATATTTAAAATAGTTTTTGATTGTGCAACAAACCCAGCAATTCCTTGCCCCACCTATAAACGGATTGTAGCTGAAGTTCCTTTGGCTACTCTTGTCCATAATTCCTTTTTGCTTTGATCAACTATAAAGCATGATGCTCTGTCACATTCTAAACAATCAACACATTTATCTATTATGGTTTGTAAAGCATCATCTAATAAGATAGATGAATTCATTTAGAGAGCCCCCATCACAATTTTCTTTAATCTCAATACTAAAATGAATAATTGATTATGATCAGACATTATTCGCTTGAATTTATCATAAAGAAATGACAATTTTTATGCTGACATATTTTAAATTATATCTCCAAATGAATCTTCATTATCCAGTAATTCTCGCATCAATTATACAGTTCCATCTTGTTTGTATTATTACATAGCATCTTCATCGGACAACTAGACATTTAGGATTGCATTTGTTCTAAAACAGTCCTCTTATTGCAAAGTATCATAAAACGTAGAAGCCTTCTAAGTTTATTTTTCATTTTTCTACTGTTCACTTTCTTATTCTAAATGTAATCGAGCTAATGTTGGATTTCTATATATTCTTCGTTTCACACTTGGACTTTGTTGAGATGTTTCATCTAAAAATTTACTGAGATAATTCTTCTTTTCACTCATAGTCTTATTATGACCTAATTTGATAGTCACCTTTTTAGAATGAAACTATCTTTCTGATTATAAAATATTTAGTTTTGTTTGATTTGCTTAGATTAGATATTCATTAATGTATGATAATCTCTCTATTTCCTTTTATTGTAATTTTATCTAATCTTTTAATCTTCTTATTTGTTCTAACATAAACTCATTTTAATGATTTGATGGACTACATGTCCCCTCATTTTTCTAAGTTCTTTGATGATAAGATGAAGATTCAAAATTCTTATCACTTTTTATATCTCTACTATAGAATGATTTTTTGATATGTTCTGTTTGAGTGGTTAATCTAGGACTATTTAATATTTCTAATTTATTCATTATTAAATATTAATATATATGTTATCATTCAATAGTAGTATTATTCATTTTGCATATAAGCTATCTAAATATGAATTTATTTTCTTAAACTATCCTTTACTCTATTCCCAATATACCTTTCCATCTAATACAACGACATAAAGGATGTAGTATATATTTTTGGATTTGGTTTTCTATTCTTTACGATAGAGAGTTAAATTGATATAAATTTTGGCCCATCATCAATATGATTATCGATGAATCTCAGATTATCATTTATATCTATTCATCTTCGCTATCAGATTAATTAACAAGCATTTTGTATTAAAAGTGATAATTTAAATTTGAATAATAATAATAATGTCATAAGAGTAGGTTTCAATAAGCACTTTGATACAAAAAAATGCTCAATAAAATGTAAGTACAACTAATATATTAAGACATAATACAATTGGGTGGGAGTATTGGAATTTTTGCATGAATAACATAAATAGGTTTAATATAAGGATTGTGAATGGGCATTGGAGAAATCATAAATGCAGTAGAAAATAAATGAGTTAGAAGGAGTAGTCAAAGGTTAAGAGCGGGTAATAACTGATTTGGGAAAAAGGTGCAAAATGCTTGAAGTTGCTTTGCGATAAGAAAGATTGAAATACCAATAAAATGGATAAGTTCCAGACTATTTGAATCAATTACTCAAAGAAAACATCGAAAACCAGAGTCAGATCTAAAATTACTAAACAATTCCAAAAAGAAAAGCCAAACCCTATAGACCCTTATTGCAAAAGTAAATATGAGTTGGTTAAACTTAAGAATAATATAAGAAGTGGGATTACAATCAATTTTCTCTCCTCCAAGTTCTCCAAAAATAGAACATTCAAATAGACCATCAGTGATGTTAACTCCAAATTAAAATGTGACATCCATAGTTTAAAATTCAGGTAGACAGAGTCCAACCAACATGAATAGCACAAGTGGTTTTCCAACTCATAGTAGAAGCAAATCACAAAATATCAATGAGGAATAACCCTAAATGGTTTCAAAAGATCCGGTTTAATTATAAAACACCTTGAGACATCATCTAGATGGAGTAAGAGATGCATATTTCTTTAACAATATGACTATTTTAGCAACAGTTTCTGAAGATTGCCAATTGAAATTGTGGGATTACTAAAACTATTAATAATAATAAAATCAAATTGAACCGTATTTGACATTAAGAGACCACACAGGGCCTTTGTTTGCAATTGCTGGAATTGAATAAAGACTGAAAGGAATCTAGAATGCTATTTTTAGTGCTGGAGCTGAAGGGGCAATAAAAATGTGGTATTTTCCATTGCCAGATGAATGTGATCAGTTAGGGTAAACTGAAGAATTCTAATAATGTAAAATGACATGGTAAGCTCATCAAGATGCAATTTGGCAATTAAAAGTTAACTCACAATAAAATTTATTGTTATCTTCTGCAGCCGATTCTCTAATCAAATTATGGCCAGTTTAAGACTCATAAACTGAACCCAAATAACTCTATTAATTTGGATAGAAAAATCAATACGGTCATTTTGTTGATTCACCTACTGCAATAGCTTGGCTATAACACAACCCAAATCTGTTTGCATCAGGTTTTATGAATTCTTCAATACTCTCTATTTTTGATACTGAGAACGGGAGAAATGTGCAAAATATTAAATATTTACAAGAAAACAATTCATAAGCACAAATCAATCAGTTGACACAATTTTAGCAATCTTGTTTGATCTCATCACATGATGATGGCAAATTGAGAATTTTTGATCTTCAATAATGTATCAATATTCATTAACACTTTAGCAAAATTAATCTCATAAATTATTTGTGGGAATGAACCAATTACTTCAGCTATTACTAATCTTAACAGTACTATCATTTACATTGCTACTGGTAATGTTATTAAGTAATTATTTATATTAATTGCAAATAGAGTTTGGGATACCAGAAGATAACAATTTATATAGGAACTACAAGGTCATCAATCTAAATATGATGAAAGCATTCACAATTTAGTTCATCATGGAAGTTATAATTTATTTGCGTCTTTAGGTGCAGATGGATAAATTAAATTGTTTTCATCTAGATGATTTATTTATATATCTATCATATATATCAATTAATTTAGACTTATTATCGATTGATTTACCCTAAAGCATTTCATAAATAAATTATCAACACTCTTATTATATATTTTATTATACCGTTTTTCATGAAATAAGTCATCTTCCTAGTTATGCTAATCACATTGTCTCTACAAACTTCATTGTAGTCTAAAGTAGATGTTGTTATGGCACAGATGGATAAAATGGCACTCAAGAATGAATTTTCAAAGCAATTAGCTGGTTTAATTGAACTCAAAATGTTATAAAGTTCATATGTGGAGGAAGTATTGAAAGAAATAAAAGGCATTAGAGATTAATTACTCTCAGATTAAACTGTAGAGGATCAAGAATTTGCCTAAGTACAAATAAATATATTTCAACTAGAAAATAGGATAATTGAATGTCGAAATAGAAATTTTGGAAATCTAAACAGAAAAATTAGCTAAAGAATTGCAAAGACTTAATCAACAGATCGCAGATTTAAATGAAGATATTAGTAAACTAATTGGTACTTAATAATCATAAGAAAAACAATTATCAACTTTGAATTCTAAAGAAGAAGATATCAGAAACCAATATAAATTGGAAGTTGAAAATATTTCTGTAAGCCCTTATATTGTATTTTTAGTAAAGAACAACAAAAAACATAAAATCGATTGATGGATTAAATGAAATGATTGCAAAACTTTAGTAGGCTGTATTTGCTGAATAAAGCAAGACAACTGTCCTCTCCTAATAACACACTAAGTAGTATATTGACCAACTTGCTAACTCTTTGGGACCAAATCATCCTATTACAGCACTTGTTTCAGTAACTACCAAGTATTTCAATATTATATTTAAGGTTTGATGTTCCCACTGTTACTAGAATTATTTAGTTGCTTGAAAATATTCGAAATCAAAGAATAGAAGAAAATGCAGGCGCAAATGAATACGTTGCTAAAGTTACATAATCTTATGAAGTTACACTTAAAGAAGTTACTGAAGTTAGAGAAAGACTCAGTGCTGATTATTCAAGAACACTTGTTACCTTAAAAAGAAGAAATGAAGAAAATGTAATATTATTTCAATTATCAAATTAGGCATTATCTACTAAAAGCAGAAATCAAATCTAAAAGGATTTACCTATTGCCTTAGATTTGCTTCAATAATATAGAAATGAGAGGGAAATAGTCCAATCAAATTATAATCTAAGATCAGCTAAGAGGGAAAATGAAGTTAGAATTATCACATAAGCATATACTATTGTTGCCCAATAAGTCAAAGTTTGAAAAATATTATCAAAACACATAATTATTCTAAATTTAATTTTAATTATAGAATATTTTGACTTAAGACTACGATCCTAGTTTTATCTTCTCCATTGATATATCGATGAAAAACTTTCAACCTTAGAACTCTAATTTAAGGAGACCTAAAATAATCCAAATGAATATTTTCATAATGAAATAATAGATATATTAATTGAATAGTATCAAATTATTGGTTTTAAACTAAATTATGAATTTTCTTCTAACCATCTTACTTATAACCTCAATATGATAAAAAATCAATGTATATAGACATTTTATGTTAACCTTTTAATCTTCACTTAATAAAACTATTATTTTAGATTTTTGATAAATTATATTTTATTTATTATTAAAGTANAAAAGGCATTAGAGATTAATTACTCTCAGATTAAACTGTAGAGGATCAAGAATTTGCCTAAGTACAAATAAATATATTTCAACTAGAAAATAGGATAATTGAATGTCGAAATAGAAATTTTGGAAATCTAAACAGAAAAATTAGCTAAAGAATTGCAAAGACTTAATCAACAGATCGCAGATTTAAATGAAGATATTAGTAAACTAATTGGTACTTAATAATCATAAGAAAAACAATTATCAACTTTGAATTCTAAAGAAGAAGATATCAGAAACCAATATAAATTGGAAGTTGAAAATATTTCTGTAAGCCCTTATATTGTATTTTTAGTAAAGAACAACAAAAAACATAAAATCGATTGATGGATTAAATGAAATGATTGCAAAACTTTAGTAGGCTGTATTTGCTGAATAAAGCAAGACAACTGTCCTCTCCTAATAACACACTAAGTAGTATATTGACCAACTTGCTAACTCTTTGGGACCAAATCATCCTATTACAGCACTTGTTTCAGTAACTACCAAGTATTTCAATATTATATTTAAGGTTTGATGTTCCCACTGTTACTAGAATTATTTAGTTGCTTGAAAATATTCGAAATCAAAGAATAGAAGAAAATGCAGGCGCAAATGAATACGTTGCTAAAGTTACATAATCTTATGAAGTTACACTTAAAGAAGTTACTGAAGTTAGAGAAAGACTCAGTGCTGATTATTCAAGAACACTTGTTACCTTAAAAAGAAGAAATGAAGAAAATGTAATATTATTTCAATTATCAAATTAGGCATTATCTACTAAAAGCAGAAATCAAATCTAAAAGGATTTACCTATTGCCTTAGATTTGCTTCAATAATATAGAAATGAGAGGGAAATAGTCCAATCAAATTATAATCTAAGATCAGCTAAGAGGGAAAATGAAGTTAGAATTATCACATAAGCATATACTATTGTTGCCCAATAAGTCAAAGTTTGAAAAATATTATCAAAACACATAATTATTCTAAATTTAATTTTAATTATAGAATATTTTGACTTAAGACTACGATCCTAGTTTTATCTTCTCCATTGATATATCGATGAAAAACTTTCAACCTTAGAACTCTAATTTAAGGAGACCTAAAATAATCCAAATGAATATTTTCATAATGAAATAATAGATATATTAATTGAATAGTATCAAATTATTGGTTTTAAACTAAATTATGAATTTTCTTCTAACCATCTTACTTATAACCTCAATATGATAAAAAATCAATGTATATAGACATTTTATGTTAACCTTTTAATCTTCACTTAATAAAACTATTATTTTAGATTTTTGATAAATTATATTTTATTTATTATTAAAGTACAGCATGAGTTTTTAAATGGATACAATTTAGAAATTTATTTCCTTGGAATTTGTTGATAATATCATAAACATATAAATATGCTAGATAATAAATATTCAATGCATACTAATGAATATTGTTTAAATAACATGCATTATGATTTAGAAAATCACAATATCAGATTTTTAATAATACAACATATTTTGGTTGATTTAAATCAATAAGAATTATCCTGGATTTATGAGAATTAAGCTTATTGTTGGTATATGTAAGTTAAATAAATTAAGAGAATCAATAAATCAAATTAGGACTTATATTTGTAAGATAAGACTTTCAATAATTTGGAGATTTCTAATAATTTAATATGTCTGTTATTTCATAATTTATGCCTATAAGACAAATAAATCATGATGATTAATATAGAGAAAATTTCAATTCATCAAAATATCTCTTTAAGGTGTAGCGATTTGTTTGGTAAAAATCGAAATCAAACTATGTTTTCTCGATTGCCTATTCAAACGGTACTCTATTTATGATTTTATCAATAGCAATTATCATAATATTGATTAGACTATTTTCAATATTTTAAATACTTAATATTATAACGAAAGATTCTTAATCTTTCTAATCTGTAGATTAGAGCAAAGTATTCATGGTACCCTAAGGATTTGTCAAATAGTTATATTTCAAGATCTTCTATTTTTTCTGTGAATTTTGAATTTTCTTCAACTAAAATTTCAAGTGCCAGATTAAGTGCTTTTTTTTCTAATTACAAGTCTTAAATCTTAAAAATGGTATCTACAGAATGTAAATTTATATCCCTAATAATATTTTATATTTATTACCAATAAACTAATTTACAAAATATTATCAACTCATAAGGAGGTTTAATAAATTTTAACTTAAATCTTTTAAATTTATCTAATTTAAATCTATGAACAATCCATTTAGCCTCGTTTGTCTAAAGATATTTTAGGTACTCAACTCTCAAAAATGAGCTGTTGAATTTATTGTATTCTAAAGCCATTCCATATTTGAGAATCATCATTCTATTTGACAATTAACTATAGCAGAAGTACACTTATGATCCTTTTTAAAAATAATCTCTTGTTCTCATCAATAGATTTTTAAAATTTTCATCTTCCCAAACATTTTAATAATAATTAGCACTACGATCAACTGGCTATTTTAAAATTGATTCGACTGTTGGTAACACCTTTATTGGTCTCTGGGCTATTTTTTATGAAAATGTATTGACTTTCTATTAGATTGGGTTTTTTTTAACAACATTATTAAAAGCGTACCAATTGTCTAAATAGCTACTACAAATTTGTTCCATTCTAGCAAATATTTCTCTTGCCTGAAATGAAGATATCTATTCTTCAAAATACTCTTCAAGTGAATTATCTAAAATTTTGAAAATATGCCCTATAAAAAATATTGAAAAATTATCTCCAAAATCAAGATGTTGAAATAGCATTGATTTGCAGTCAATAGCTAATTAGAAAACATCTCTTTGTATATTTAATTTAATATTTAACTCTTTTCTCATTCTGATTGAAAATTCTTAGAAAACTTTCATCTTTTGACCAAAATGTTCATACTCTTCATTTTAGATTGTTAGTGTTTCTAACATATAATTTAAATTATTGTTAAAATTTTTTATTGCCTTTTCATTAAATTCATCAAAATCAAATTCTTAGTAATCTTGATACTCACCTGTGGTAAATTCAGAGTCACTAATTTCATCTTCTGACCCTTATGAATGGTCGAAAGATTGGATTGACAATTCGTCCTCATCCTTCTAATCTCCAACTAACTTTTAAGTCATAAATTCATAATTATATTTAGTTTTCCCATCATTTTATTAAAGATCATAACATACATCAGCACTTTCATGATTAAATAATTCACAAAATGGTACCATTGTAACATATTTTAATCCTTAACCTCCGAAACATCTAGTTACAATACTAGTGTAAATCCAAATAATATTTTCTAAAGTAACAACCCCTGGTTTAAATAGATCCGGATATTTGCTAGTAATGTATTAGAGAGTTTGAAAGGTAGAAATAAGATATCTGTTCTTTTAAATGGCATGCTTGGCCATTTTTTGATCTTTCAATAGTTCTAAATCTTCAGATTTCCAAAATACTGCATAATCAATATCCTTAGGAAAATTATTGATTAATAAATGCCATTTTGATTCAGCACCTCTTTAGTATTCGTAGAGTAAGAATGATAGAATGATGTGGTATTACCAGGAGGGAATAAATTTAGGGCTAAAGAATTATGGAAATTCCAGAAACATAGGTTTTAAAGGAGATTCAAATGCTTATTTTGTAGTTAGTAATGTCTCCCTTGGTAAAATAACAAGATTGTCATTTGGTACAATATTCTCAGTTGCTAATCTCAACATAACAAAATACCAATCAGCCCAGGATATTTTAATCCATTTTTTGTTTAAAAAATTGCATATTTCACTTTATTGATAATAGCACCCTAAGAATTAAGAGATTATATAAAATCTTCTATAAGTTGAGGAGTTTCAGGAATTATTGCATCAGGATCAGCTTTATTCAATCCTTTTATTTTTGTAAATTTTTTTCCAATGCTGTGTCTTTTCATTATTTATTTTATAATATTTAATTACAAAGTATAAGTCATAGTCCTGAAAAAAAAAATTTAATATATTGACTTACACACAAAATTTTGTGAAGCTTGAAGAATTAAACTAAATTAGAACCCATAATTTGAAATATCTGAACGATCTAATTCTTAATGATCTTTTTTAATGATTCATTTTATATCTTTGAGAACAAAACCAACTTTAGTAGCAATTTCCTCAATGTTAATTGTTGCTCTAAAAAAAATAATTATGTCTAATTTCTTCTCCCAGATTTCAAAGAGCAAAACACAACTTTTATATTCAAATTTAAGTCCCTTCTTGAAAAAATATTACTCATGAAAGAAATATTTATTTTATAGTATTAAATGGTGAATTCTGATAACAAATATCTATCACATTGATAAATTGAATTATTGATTGATGATAATTATATTTTATAATCTGTCTTTTTATATTTCTCTCATCTAAGTCTTTAACAGTTCTGACCTTAGTGTAAAAGAGAATAGAAAAAAATTGACGATTCTCCTCTGAAATTGAGGTTATTTTTGAGAGTAAAACAATTTATAGAATTAAAAAACGACCATAGTCAAAAATAATTTAATGATATCTAATGTATAAAATAAAACAAATCAAAATTGAGGGAATCCATTAAAGCTGAATCCAAAGAGTAAAATTATCAAAGATAGAGTTGGACAATAGAGGAAGATAATCTATAGGGTTAAATCATAACTAAATATGGAAAATGTTGCCTTAGGTAACAAAAATGTAGATAAAATACCAAATAATTAGAAAAAAAACAAAAGGACTGTTAAGGACGACAATTTAATTAAAATTTGTAGCATCTTGAGTGGAATATGGGTTAAAATTTCAAAGTAATTTAAAGAAAAAGAAAGAAACAATATATTAGGAGAAATCAAAATTAGATTTAATTTTGGCTTAAACACCATATAAATTGTTTCAATTTATAAATTTCAATAAAAATAATTGTTTGAATCACCGAAGCCCTTTACGCGAAAAGAAGATAAATTTACTAAAAATCCAATAGCTTTGATTCAAAATGGTGTCACACAGCAATGAATCTAAATGAAAGTGCGGTAAATTGTTTTAATTTTAGTTTCTTCTTATATTATTTCTTCTAATTTTAAACATATAAAACACATATTATACCAATTTATCTACTTAACCAGAAATAATAGAGATGTAACTAAAGCAATTTAGAAGTGTATATTTCACTTGAAAGAAATAATCTACAAAAAATTTCTACTCTATGTAATAATTATGTATTAAGTTTGCATTAATTTAGTTTCTCTCAAAATATACACAATTTTTAATTCTTCCTTTTTAATGTTCTGAATTTATGATTGAAAAGAAATGACTAATTACAAAAATCAATACAAAATTCTTAAGAATTTTAATATATATGATTACAGATCTCCAACATATATAGTAACATTTCAATTCAATTTTCTTGCATACTTTTATAAGTTGATAGATAAAATACTTCCCACAAAATTTTAAAATTAATGAATACTTTTTATGATATTGCTAATAATTCGACTAATATAAAATGATAACTTGTGTGTTAGAGAACTTTGATATCCAGTAGACTTCTTACTATTATATTTTAGGAAATAATTGCCTCTTGATTTTTCGAATAATTGGATGAGATCAATTTGTTACATTAATATTTGACATTAAATGGCTTAATTAGCTCATTGAAAACTACAATTTAATAATTGATCGAATTTTAAGTATTATTAAATTGGATAAATCAAATATTAATCTATATAAAAGTTAAATGAGTTACAATGCCATTATTAATATTTACATAAGGTATTTTTTATATGATTTAATTTCACCATTCAAAATGCTAATAAACTACAACTTTACAACCCTAAGATTACATTTAACAATTAAGATTTGATTTTGACTTGGACACTTTACTTTTTCAATAAATGATTATAGTTTTAGATTCCTTTTTTAATCCAAATAAAAATGTAGTGTTTGTGTTACACGATTGGATGGAAATTTGTAAACAAATGAAAGAAATACACATTGGATGAATTTAATCTTAAGCAATCCTAATTTTCTTTTATCTAGCCCTACAACTTTCTCAAACAATCAATACTATTTCAAAGAATATAGTTTTTTTCCAAGAAATAATAATTTTTAGATTAAATTTGATATTTATATTGAAAAATTTTGTGGAAAAGCCATTTCTGTTTGACAATTTCAAAACATTTATATAATTAATTATATAGTTTTCTAATCAAATTGCTTTTCTCCAAATTCAAATATTGTTAAAACAAATTAGGAACTAAATCAATTTCATTACTAAACTAAGAGTCAGTATTGATTTTTAAATCCTTGAACTTCCTTATTAAAAGGTTAATTTATTATACTATTCTTTAACAAAGTATTAAGATATATTAATTAGGATTGAGCTCTTAATAATGGGAGTAGTGCCTTACAATTTAAAATTATATAATAAAAACTATTTCTATTTGCTTTTCAAGTTTATAAAAGACCAAAAAAAAAATTAACATGAAATTAAATTATTTGGAATAATTTTATGAATATTATGCGACCTCTCCATTTATTTCAATTTTGATAATAAATCGTTTCCCCACTAAATGAAAATAACACATACGTATTTTTAAATCCTTCCTAAATTTTCAATTTATCTCTTTTGAATTCTAACCATTTCTCAACCTTTCTCCCATTTTTATATTCCCCCCTATGAATGATTTATTTAGAGCTATTAATCAATTACAGTATTTTTAATACTTACTAAAATCTTCATCCAATTCTATCCATAATCCATTCTAAATTCCATCATCATCATAGCATCCACAACCTCTAAAATTAAAGAGACTATCATGCTTACATTTCCTCAAAATTTTAAGAGAATCTAAAATTAGTTTCCCATAGCCCAACCTTTTATCCACAATTATACTCGCCTTTATAAATAACCTATTTATCCCTAATATTGATAATAACAAAAATTAATTACTCGTTAAAATCATTTGACAATTCAATCCAAATTCCATTCTTTAAACCATTCTCACCATATAGTCCACACCCCCTAATAAAAAATTGATATAATAATTTATTTTTATACAGTTATTCAACTTTTAACTTATTGTTCCAAAAGCTTTTCCATTTACCATTTTTATGACCCTAATAATATTCTCCTCTATACACAATTTAACTTAAACTAAAAAATGATAAATGATTGATCTGAATACTTAAAAAAACTTGAGCTGGTTTCTTATTACAATCCAGTTTTATTACCTTACTCATCATAATAAGTTACTCCTCTAATAAATATAATAAAAAGATGAATTATAATACATTTATTGAAATGTGTTAAACTCCCTAAAATTGATATCCCATTTACCAATCTTTCTCCCATTATGATACATCCCCTAATA